CGCCTGCCCCCGGCGCCGCCGCGGGGGCCAAGCGCAGGCGGCGGGCAGCAAGGAGAGCACGCTGGACAGCCTGCCCGCCGGCAGCCAGGACGGGCTCTGCCACCCCCAGGGTGGCTGCGGAGCCCAGCGGCCCCCAGACTGCGAGGAGCCGGACAAGGCCCGGCCGCCGCACAGGAACAGCGCGGACCTCTACTAGCCCAGCCCTGCCCGGCGGCGCCGTCGCAGACGCCCTGGAGCCGCAGCACGTGCTGGCACAAGGAAGGTTCCACGCCTCAGGGACTCGGGGCACGGCAGGGCACGTGGCTGGGACAGCAGCAGGCTTGGGGAGCGCTGGGAGCGGGGGGTAAGGGTGTGGGTGTCTGGCTGCAAACATGGAGCCCAGGCGGCCTCTGCACCACTGTCACGGAGCCACACACAGACACACACGAAGCCAAGCTTTAACGAAGACCCTCCAAACCCAGTAGCAATGCACGCGGCAAAAGGCCAAAGGCCTCCCCTCGTTCCCTCACACAGGCATGTGTTTTGCCAGTTATCAGGCCTAGCCTAAAGGACACAGGCAGCACCAAGGCGATCCAATAACACGATTGTATTTGGCACAAAAGGGTCAGTCCGTGGGTGAGCGCTGGGGGTACAGACAAGTCAGTCAGGTTATACATGATGGACATCAATCCCACCGACCCCAACAGCGGCACCGCACGGCCAGCAATGGGTGGGGTAAATGGTGACATGCAGTCTCCCAAACAGCTTCCTAGTTGTAGTTCGGTTTTTGCCGTGTGTTCCAGGCCCCCCGTTCCCCCGCCCCCCAGCACCGAGGTCACTGCGCAGCGTCTGAACTGACCTGCTTGACCCGTGCTGACTGTTGGTGTTACACTTCAAGGGACTTCCTAGTCTTGTCAGACTTTTAGCTTTGAAGTAATAAACACGATGGATTTTTAGAATACGCAGATGTCCTCTGCTTCATTTCTATTCTTTCACAGTTAGAAATTGCAAAGAAACCGGAATGCCGAGTAGCTCTGGGGCTTGGCAGCAGGGATGGGGAGGTTGGGAGGTTGCAGCACGTGTGACAGGGCTCCGCAGGGGTGAGGAGGGGGCAAAACCAGCCAAGTGGGGAAAGAACCTTGTCTTGGAGAAGCCCCTGGGAGCTGGTGCGTATGGGGTCAGGCATGAGCCAGTGCTGACTGGGGACCAGCACGGGGCCGTGGGCGAGGGGGAGTGAAAACAATCCAGTGCTTCTCCCACACAGAGCGACAACGGAAAACCAGAGACTATAGGGAGAGCTGCGGAATCACAGCGAGGAAACAGCCCGGGAAAGACAAAACATCCCACCACCACGCGTAGCAAGATCATAATAAACCGGTACCCGGTGAACACTGGCATCAGACTAAACCTGCTGCCTCTCCAGGAGCCTGCCTGACCCCGAGGCCGTGCTGCGGGGGCTGCAGAGCTCAAAGGGTGCTCAGCCGGGGGCTTCTCTGCGACCCTGCCTGTCCCCGTCCCGCGGCATCCCGCTTCTCCCCTCCTCTCCTTCCAGGGTGGCGGCACCCAAAACCCGCAGAGCCTCCCCCCGACTTGCAGCCCACAGAGGGGGGCATTTCCTTGCCCCAGACACCTGCCTGGCTGCCTGTGCCCGCGCGGTCACGTACCAAGCAACGACGAGGCATCGTTGCCAGCAGAAGCATACCATGCACAGAAGCACCTTTGGATTTTTTTTTTTTTTAATTTATTCATTAAAAAAACCCCCTGAAGTTGGAAATACAGAGTAACTGGAAAAAAAGTCTCACAACATAGTAATAAAACATCTTTACTCCCTCTTAAATATAATCTCTAAGACTATAAACCTATAATTCCTGTTAAATCTCACTTAATTGAATGGTCTTTATAGGCTTTCTTCTTTGGAGAGTGAACACTGAATACTGGCTTCAACACAACAATGGAAAAACGGGAGCATGGGGAACAAACCATGAACTTCTGGTACCTCGGGAAACACCTGCAGGACCTGGCGGAGACACAACCTGCCAGGGCAGCAGGAGCAGGGCCAGGGGCTGCGCGGTCCCTCCCACCGCCCCGTGGCTGGAGGACAAGGGTGAGGTGACTCCACACAATGTGACAGCCTGGGCCTCACGCCACGAGGTCCCAGGAGGGATAAACAAGACAAGTGTGCAGAAAATGAGCGATGTGGCAGGAGAGGCTCTGGGAGCAGCACTGCTGCCACAGCCCCCGGATGGGACCCTCCTGCACCTCTCGGCTACATCTCCTGGATCAGCCAAGAGTCATGGTGACAGGAGCCGTGGTCACCTTCCGGCTTCTGGGTGGATTGAACTGAAGGTAAAAAAATACGGGATTTTCCATGCCAGTGGCTAACTTCTTATTCAACCAGCTAAGGGCTAAGCTGATGAGCTCTCGGTGCAAACAAGGGGAATTAGACCAGCTAACAGGGTGAGAAAATAGCCCCTGAGGGGCAGGTCTGCTGGTCCAGCTGAACTGACAGGTGGAGCCTCACGAAGTCCCTGAATTAACGCAGAATTAACACAGTATCCCATCCTGTAGGGTTTGCTCCCCACCTTGGTGTTCACGGCGCTGATCCAGCCCAGCACAGCTGCCCCGTGGGGCCGGAGCTCAGGCTCAGGGTGCAGGGTGCTGCTCCCCGGCCAGCCTGGCACATGCTGCCTTCTCCCCAAGGGGTGGGAACAGCCAGGCCCGGCTGAGAAACGCCTCCTCCCAAACAAATGCGAGGGAGAAACTGTGGGGTAGATCCGGCGAAAAAAGTGCTCTGCCTTCAGTGCCTCGGTATTGTCACATAACAGGAAAAAGAAGTGTCGGTTGTGCCATTCTCCCCCC